TACACCAAAAATATACAAATTTGCCGAGTTTGAAATATTTAAATGCCTAACCTAGGGCTACCCGTGAGCGCAAGCCAAAGCTTAAATTTACTATATGGAGCCGAAGCTTGACCTTTATTCAGTTTGTCGCGCTTTAGCCAGATCCAGATCCGCTCCTGGGCGCTCGGATTGTTCTTACCGGAGCGCCCAAAATCGGCCAATACCTCCACTTCTTTGGCAATGTTACAAAAGATGCGCAATCGTGAGTTGCCTTTTTGGTCATATTCTCACTCTAAAGCTTTACAGGTTCTGCGTGACGCTTCAGAAAGATTTTGAGGACCTGCAGAATGTTGCTTGCAATGTGTGTGCGTATTTTCGGGCTGGTAATGTTTTTACAAAGCTAGCATATAGCGAATTTTCTCAAATATAAAACCAATTCCAGATCCGAGAATCGAATATGATATCTCGCATAATGGGCTGCTTTTCTTAAACAATCGGGCCATGAATCCGTTTGCGGTCAGTTTGCTTTGCTCGTCCCCTTTTAAAGCTTGCGTGTATAGACTCTTTTAAGACAGGTGAGCAATTCGACCTCCGGATCCGCTTCCTGCACGAGAACGTCCAAATCCTTGCGCAGCGCGGCGAGATTGGCATTTTTAGCAAGGATTACAATGTACATGAGGTATGACCGGGCCATTCCTTTTTAGTGGATTTTCGATACAGGCGAAACATCTGAAAATTTTCGGAAACGTTACGAATCTGCGGTTGATGCAAGTTGATGGAGGTAATTATACCATACCTTACTATCGAAGGATCGATTTTCGGTCTCGATTGGATATTGCATTGAAGCCAACAGCCGAAAGTAAGTCCTAGCAATTCTAATTTTGATCTTGATCTTGAATTCAAAAGTGAAAATCTGTAGAATTAAGCAAAAATTTGGAGATCCTTAGTTTTAATTTTTTATTTAATGAATTTTCAGTAAAAACTTATTAATTTTTTAGTGGAGCCTGCGCTTTGGGAATCGTTGATCGAAGGAAAACCAATGAAAGGTTGGGGCCCAAATTAAAAGGAAATTTACCAGATTAATGTAGCTTCTCGAAACCGCTTAAGACGAAAAGGTGGTCGGGGAGGTGGACGCGGGGAGAGGGCAGTGCAAGGAGCTGCTGCTCATGGTGATGGCTCACGCGGCTTTTCAGGCAGGAGTGCTACGGTAGCATGAAGAATAAAGCAATAATCTAGGGCGAGACTCAAGCAAAGGGGTTTTTAAGGCCTATGGAAGGCTTTCTTATCATGCCTCATCACCGGCTTCAAACACCAGCTATGGGCACAGTAGCATGGGACACTACTGGTATTCGCCGAGGCACGGGGGTCAGTAATAAGAAGTGTTTTTCGAGACCTTAAATTTTGCCTGAGGACACATTATTCAAGAATTCCGATTTTACAGATAAACTGGGATTTTTCAGGATACTACCATGCACAGCCCAGCCCATGGGGTGGACCAGCCTATGTGCCAGCCTCATACTCATATCGTAACTCCAGAAATGGATCTATGGTTTATGCTGACAGCGAGGGCCACGGTCGCTACTATGACCCTAATTATGTTATCGACATCGAAAAGATTCCGAAACGTATGCCAGATTCTATTTTCGTTGTTTTCAAGCTAATTTCTAGCTAGATTAATCAATGTTATACTCTATCGTAGTAACGGTCACAACGCTACGAATCGTGAAGAGTGGTCGCCAACTTTAAGGTAAGTTTTGCTTCGGGTTCCCATTTCTTCGATTGGAGAACAATTTTTGAATGGTCAGCTGCTAATATTGATACACCTTTTTAGAAATCCTGAATATTTCAGCTCTCCTTTCGCTTCGACCTGAATACGACAACCCTCAGCCGATTCGACGGAGGATGGGTAGATGAAGAAAAAAGCGGATTTCCTGCCGATAGACGACTGGAGGCTGTGAGTCAAACCCATTTTTTTGCATTTCCAGGTTTATTATCATTCAAAAAAACCATCTGACAGCCTTCTGAAACGAGATCACTACGGAGGATTTCGATTTTTCAGGTTCGATCTGGCGATCCGCCCTGCAAATCACAAGCTATACATTTACATCAACAATTACGAGTTTGCCAGCCATAAATTGAGTTTCGATATCATGGCCAGCGATTATATTGGGATCGAGGGTGATGTGGAGGTACCTAAAGCGGTTTTGAGGTTTGAAACAGCATTTTAGATCCTCGGCCTTAAGGAGGATGGCCTGTTGGCATAAGCGGGTAGTGAAGGAATGCCAAGGCTGCTGCTTTTTCTCTCTGTGTTACATACTTGTCTGAATTTTGCGTGGTGCATTGTACAGTAATTCTTTTCTGAATTTACCTCATTTTCTGTGTTTCTGTGCTTCTGTGTTTTTTGTGTTTGGTATTTCTGTGTTTTTAATAAAAGATTCGTGGAAACCAGCAGCCGTAGAGGGAGAGAGAGACACATAGAGAGAGAGAGAGAGAGAGAGAGAGAGAGAGAGCGAGAGAGAGAGAGCGCGAGAGAGAGAGAAAGGGAAAAAGAGAAAGAGAAGGAGAAATTTTCCAAAAACCCAGAATTAAGCCAAGCCTAGTGGCATGGAAAATTTGTATCCCGAGCCAGGTTTGTATTTCCGGTGCCGGGTCTTTTCCGAACCAAATTTGGCTATAAACAGATTTTTCGGATAGAAGTGAAAATCTTATCGAATAAAAAAATGAAAGCAAAGGTTTAGGTAAAAATAACTCAAGAACTTTATCTAAATATCCGCAAAAATTCGAAGTTTAAAAAACTAATGCATTTTCAGGCGCCGTCGCCCTATTGATCCTGCTTGGCCCCAACTTTCATAAACCCAAAGAATACCCAAACTATTATCCCCCATACATCCCTCCTCCCACGGACCCTCCAGATCCCCCACCGAAAGCCATTCACTTTTTGCGCGAGGCTAGATTGGTGGGTCGTATCGGATTTCGTGACCCCTTTTGTTTGTAGCCAGACTCAGATCCATTCCTCGGAACGAGAATTTCTCTAAATAACTCGGCAACCGTCGGACAGTACCTCCATATCTTGGGGACTACCACCGAAAATGCGACAACGTAAGAAAGAAATTGTGAAATCCGGCACCTCAACGACTTAGATTTTGCGTGACGCTATCAGAAGACTTTGACATTGCGGAAAATTATGCCTGCGAAGTTTACGCATTTTTGGAGCCGGTAGAGAGAGGATTTTGAGAGGTAAATGGGCTCCCTTTAGACCCGGGAATCGAGCACGCGGCATATCGGTATGGGAAGCGAATGTTGAGTGGAAGGGGATTGAACCCATTTACGGTAAGTGATTTTTTGGATCTTTTCTTATTGATCACTTCTTATTTCTTCTTTCTATCATTTTCTTATTTCTTTACAAATTTTCGTAATTATTAACAAATAAAATTGATGCCTGGTCACAAAATTTTAAGGACCGATGGAATAGAACCCCATGGCCGAAATCCCCTTCAAAAACTACCTAAATACTTTCCGGATGGCTTCAGATACCCCCCATCATGGCCGTAACAAACCCAGATTTCGGGGGCGGGGCGACTCCAAAATTTTTTCACTAATATGACTAAAACTACAGCGCCGCAGGCAAAATTTTTGAAAACATAGGGTTTATAACACTAAAACTAGTGTTAAAAATAGACAAAAACAGCGCCGCAGGCAAAAAATTTTTTCGAAAAATTAAATCATAAGGGTCCCCCCTTATGTACTTTTCGGCCTTCGGCCGATTTCGGGGGGGGCCCGAAACAATGGCTGCCCCCCATGGCTGAAATCCCCTTCAAAAACAAAAATAACGACCGACCGGATGGAATGAGAGAAAAAAAAAGAAATGAAATCCCCCGTGAAATTTTCATCCACGAAACGCGCGCCACCTGGCTCACTATGTCCAAAATCACCCCAACCTCCGTCCCCCACCCCTTTTACTAAGGACAAAACTTTCAAAGTTAATTTTAATAATTTAAACTAAAACTTTTTCATAATTTTTCTCAGTTTGGGGGTTTCTGACGGCGCTCTATCCGAATCCGAAGAGAGCTAAGCTTTAGCTCCTTTCCCCTTCGAGTTGAATTCGGCTTCAGACAGACAGACGGACGGACGGACGCGTCAAGAAAATTATTATAGTTGATAACGGCCGATGGGCATGGTTTGTTGAATTCTAAACTTTGCCCTTCTTATCCCTTCTTATCCTTATAGAATCTTTTTTTACGTAATCAAATTCCGACTTGAATTTCTCATTTTAGAGTAGCGAACCGTTTTATACGCCTACTTAGATCCTTTGCTAAATATCTCGGGTCTCGCAGATATTCTTTATTTGTGAAATCATTATGCCATGCAAGGCGTGACAGATAAGCATGGTTTCGTGTGTCAGATTGGCCCCTCATGGATGAAGCTAATGACAGTAGGCCGAACCTCTGCTGCAGCTGCCTCGACGGTAGCCATGAACGCGGCAGCAAGTATCAACGTGGCCACCCGTCTAAGATGTTTTGATAAATTAGAGGTTACGAAATACAATTCTTATGCTTTACTAAATCATTTATTTATATCGTAAAGTATTCCGCGCTTTTTTTGGGGGATTTTAGCTATTTTGCAAAACATTTCTTACCCGGCACGGGTTGTCACATACTTCGTAGCGACGGGCCTCCGTTTCGACTAAATGACATTTCTTATATTTTTTGATATATTGCCGATCGCAACTTTTGATTCCAAAAATGACTGACCAGCTACGAAGGCGATGATAAGGAGGAATACGATCAACAACTTCATAATTTCCTATCAGGGTTAGCTGATGGTGCTTTGCCATCTCGGGCGGCTTTATACCGCTAGTTCGCGCTGATGTTGCGGTTTTTGGACGTTTTAGGACCTGGGGGTGTTAACCTTCCTATAAACAAGGGGTTATTGAAACCGGAAAAAAACTTTTTCATGGAAAAGTCGCGTGCGGAGCGTGGGTTTCATTAAACAAAGCCCAATTTTTGGCAAAGAACAACAGGTGTGACTCGTCAATTTTCCCGGAACGGCCGTTTTTCAAGCTAAATTTTGGCCGTTTGTTTATAGGGACATCAACACCCATCCGCCCACATTTACTAGGAAACGTAGCGCGTCTAACTGTATTAGCGGGGCAAGATTGGAGGAAATACGGTATCTACATAACATGGACGCCAAAGGCCTATTAAGACCAGGCGTAGGTATTCATTCCGTGCCTTTTATCGTTTACCACAATTGTCTGCGCAGCGGCGCTTTTTATGACCCAATTTCCAGGTTCAATTTGACGATCGAGTCTGCAAGCGATCGACTCCGCATCTACGTCAACAATTATGAATTTGCCACCTTTGAGCTGGATCTAATGATCGAGAGGAGCGATCATATTGGGATCTCTGGGGATGTCGAGGTATTGAAGGATATTAAATACTTGACTTTTAAGCAAATTTAGGTGCTCGGAATCAAGGGGAACAGCTTGAACGGCCCTCCGAGCATCAATGATCCGTCGGTTTTGTGGCGGAAAATGGTGAAAGATTTATATCGTGATTGATATTGTCCTCAGGAGTAGTGAGAGTACTTAGCAATTACATATGCTTTATGTACGGAGTATTAAACGCGATTTGATCTCAAAATATGTGTGTGATTATTGTTGCGTAAAATTGGCCGCAAAACAAACCTATGAAAAATTATGCAAAGCATGGATTGCATGCGAATCCGGCAGGCTGCAAACAAAATACAGCGTGTCCATAAAAAAATCGGTCGCCCTCTAGCGGTCCAGAGCAACCTCGGATCGGGAGGATTTTTACACCAATTTTCATGAATTTTGCTCGAAAAATCTGGGAATTAATGTTTATATTGCAAGACGAAAAGTGAGTCGTTTCCCGTCTTAAATCCCCAAATCGTCAAAATCGGGCACTTCTCCGAGTCGCTAGACGAGGGTCGTTTTTTTGGATACCCTGTATTCCCGATTTACACGGCGGAAGTTCACCCTTTTGGGGATGGTACCTTTCAAAACCCGAGCTATAATCATATGCTAATTATGATAAAACCGGAAAAATGAAGTCAAAGCTCATTGTAATTAACTGTTTACAATTTTAGTTAACTGCTTTTGTCTAATAAAGGCTAATTAAGCGAACATTTGATCAAAAACCGCCAACAA